TATTTACTTCGGTTTGTGTTTGACTAATGATTTCTTAAAGCCAAACAAACCGAACCGAACCAAACCCGAAAATAAACCGAAATGTCCATCCCTACACAAAATAAGACACCAGCTTAAGTTTTTTTTTAGAGTTAATTTTTTAAATAACCAAGAAAAAATTATAATTAAGAAAGTAACCAAAATGAGTATATGTGGCACTATATCAACCCCTAGATCTGGGTTAAATGATTAGGATTTTTATTATAATTTTTTTCTTGGTTATTGAGCGCAATTTCTTTTTTTTTTTTAAATGGATTTCATGCTTTTATCAATTTTATTTTATTAAACAAAATCAAACGTTTTCTTATATTGGCACTATAGTCCCTTACTGGTTCCCAGATACTGTTATATTTGGCTAATTTGCCGGAATGAAATGTGTTCGTGAAAAAAAAAAAAAAATTCAAACGTTGATGGTTTATTGATGCCTTAATTGCTTTCACATGTAAATTAATTTTCTCTTAATTACGGTAGATTTGGGTATCAAAACTTTCGTTGCAGCGTTGAATTTGTTTCTTTTTCACAGTGATAAAAAAAGTGTCTAACGTCTACAATGCTTAATCGGTTATGAGTTTACAACATAAAACATTATAAATAATATTTATATAAAAGAAAATTGTTAGAAAAGCAAAAATATTAAATCGTAAACAAAAAATTAAAAAATGGTATACATGAAGTTATTTTTATTTTTTTTGTCGGCAACATGTTGATTATTATTAATCCCAAAAGGCAAAGATACTACAAGCCGGACGTCGGAAATCAAATCTCCAAACAAGTTCTACAAGCTTCGAGTTTTTTTAGAGAGAAGTTTAGAGAGAGAAGTAGTTTTGGTGTACATGAAGTTAAAATTTGTCAATTTAAGTCTATATAGTTAAAAATTGAAAAAAAAATACTATTGATTAACGATTTTGTTTTAAAATCACTTAAAATTGCTTAGAACCGTTTAATAACAAAATATATGATAATTTTAACAATGATAAAATAAGAACATAAGCCGACTAAACTGCTTTTCTAGAGTCTGTTTTTTCATATCTTTGGGACGTTGATAACAAATGAAAAAGGC